TCATTTAATTATTATTTAAATGTTCATTATTTAGTTTTGTGCATTTAAATTAATTATTTATTCCGATTTTTTTTCATTTATTTGTTTCAATTATTCATTTAAATTATTTGATTTAATTATTTATATTAATTGATTATTTAAATTATTTATTGAACAAGTAAACATAAATATTTAATTATTTATTTTAAATGTTAGAAATTTGTTTCAGTTAAATTTTAATTACATATTTTGATTATTAACTTTTATTCATTATTTACATTTTTCATTTATCATTTAAATAATCGTTTAATTATTATTTAAATGTTCATTATTTATTTTTGTACATTTAAATTAATTATTTTTCATTTATTTGTTTCAATTGTTCATTTAAATTATTTGATTTAATTATTTATATTGATTGATTATTTAAATTATTTATTGAACAAGTAAATGTAAATATTTAATTATTTATTTTAAATGTTAGAAATTTATTTCAATAAATTTCGATTACTTATTTTGATTATTAACATTTATTATTATTTAAATTTTTCATTTATCATTTCAATAATAATTAAATTAATATTATTTAAATAATAATTAAATTATTTAAATGTTCATTGCATTATTTAAATAATAATTAAATTATTATTTAAATGTTCATTATTTATTTTTGTGTATTTCAATTATTTATGGAATACAAGGAAAAAAACCGATGGTTTTCAAAGTTTTTTTTAACAGTAATCAACGGTCATTTTGGAAAAATGTCTCTTTTTGGTGGCTATCTGCCACCATTTCCTCTGAATTGGAATCCCAGGAACAACTGGAGGAATGCGGAAGGGTTTGGCTGGTATGGGTTTTAATTTTTCTTTATTTTGGGCTCAGAATATTGTGAAGGAAAATTGTGGAAGGAAAAATTTTTGAACAAGTAAATGTAAATATTTAATTATTTATTTTAAATGTTAGAAATTTATTTCAATAAATTTCAATTACTTATTTTGATTATTAACATTTATTATTATTTAAATTTTTCATTTATCATTTCAATAATAATTAAATTAGTATTATTTAAATAATAATTAAATTATTTAAATGTTCATTGCATTATTTAAATAATAATTAAATTATTATTTAAATGTTCATTATTTATTTTTATGTATTTCAATTATTTATGGAATACAAGGAAAAAAATCGATGGTCCAAATGGCCCAAATAAACGGCTTGGCCATCTGGGCCGCCTGTAAACAGACGGCCCAGCGTCTAGTGGCCTTCCCCTTCCACCTCGTGCCGGAGATCGCCATTTCCAGCGATCTCCAGCCAAAAAACCTCAAAAATGCCATTTTTAGTAATTTTACATAATCTACAAAGATTTCTACCACTATTTCCAAAAAATAAATTTTCAACATTCAGGTTCAAATATTAATGAGGGAAAAATAGGCAAAACTTACCTTCCTCGTCTCTAATGGTGGCCGGTCAGTCTCCTTCCAAGAAAAAGTCGTAGGGTTCCTTGCTATTTCTTCCCCTTCTTTCTCCAGACGTCGATTTGAGAGTGATTTATTAGGGGCAATATTGGTTTTCATTGTTTTAAAGATTTTTAAAGATTTTTCAAAAAATTTTTTAACAGTAATCAACGGTCATTTTGGAAAAATGTCTCTTTTTGGTGGCTATCTGCCACCATTTCCTCTGAATTGGAATCCCAGGAACAACTGGAGGAATGTGGAAGGGTTTGGCTGGTATGGGTTTTAATTTTTCTTTATTTTGGGCTCAGAATATTGTGAAGGAAAATTGTGGAAGGAAAAATCCCGCTTTATTGAACATTTATTTTCTTTTGTGAAGAATCCCGCTTGTGAAGGATTGAACATTTATTTTCTTTTGTTTTGGGGCTTCGACTATTACGGCGTACAACAAACACGCTGTAAAAAATAAACCATTTACGGCATGCTTGAAAATTATGCCATAATAATAGACCATTTACGATGTGCCCTAAATGTATGCTATAAATACTTTAAGTAATTGAATTATTATGGCACACATTTATGGCACGTCGTAAAAAGAGACTTTTCACGGCATGTTTGAAATGCTGCCGTAAAAGGCTACTCTTGTCATAGTGACACTTAATTCGATTCAATTATAACTTCATCAAATTCTACTGATAGAAATTGATGACTTGATTGCCAATAAATAAGATGTCTATAATGACAAGAAGTGTTTGATTTACTTTTATCAAAATATCGAAGTTTTGAGTATAAAAGTTTTTTTTAACATTTTTATCGCTAGATAAGAGGGATTTGAAAAGAAATCGATCCGAATCACAGAAAATGGTTTGATTTGGAAAGTGAAATTTGATTTCATTTGGTTTGAAAATTTTCTAAATCACATCTTACCTATCACTCGCAGACTAGGATTGTTAATTAATTGGATTTTGATCTGAATTCAATGAAATTAGTAGGAGATGGATTTATGTTTCAGTCCAATAATTCAATCAAGATCCAAATTCGATAATTCGTTAATTCGTTAATTAAATGGAGCAAATATGGATAAAGATCAATCTAATTCGATTTGATCTGCTATAAATAGTTGAGCCGATTAAATATTTTTATGGCATGTTATTTGTTACTAAAATAAAAAAATTTAGAATAAAAAAGTCATCAAAGTCAAAACATTAAAAAAAAAAAAAAAAAAGAGTCTATCCACATGTATACCATCAATTGTTTGTATGATGTTTTCTTTTATCTATAATCTATAATATATTAAGGGCTTGTTTGGGCCCGATTTTTTCACCCAAAAAATTAATTTTTTGATCGTCATTTTACTATTTCAGCCGTCATATTTGACTTCTCCTCTCACAGGTGGACCCCACTTTTCTCCTAACTGTCAAAAAATCAATTTTCAAAATTACTCCCAAACATGCTCTAAAATATCACATCAAGTAAGAATAATTTTTTGGACGATCTTAATCCTCCTACAATTTAATTATTTTAATAATACATTACTTTTCGTTTTTCAATATTTAATAAATACTATATAATTATTGTTATTTATGAAATTTGTGTTATTAATTCTCAATTAATTACATTTACATTAACCTAAATTCAATGAATCTTCACTCAATGAATCTTGAATTACATGAATCTAGAATTATTATAGATAAATTTATTCATATTCATGTATTTAGAAATTTTAATGGGAGTTTAAATTTATGTATTAATAATTAATTTTTATGTATCAAATGTAATATAAAAAGATTGCTTATTTATAGTATTCTTTCATTACAAAAAATTTGAATCATAGAAATTGGGTTTTGATATTACAATTTGAGTACAAATTTCTTTTCTTAATTTTTCATGCTAAATTTACTTTTCTTTAATTCGTCCAAAACTCATCAAATCTGCCAACAAATTGATACTAAATATTACTTTTACATCACTTATAAATTATTTTAAAATAATGTGCACTGCACATTTAACTTTGACTAGTATATTAAAATATTATATCAATTGAGAATCATTTTTAAGACGACGATTTTAACCCTCTTACAATGCAATTATTTCAATACTACATTACTTTTCGTTTTTCGATTTGCAATAAATACTACAAAAGTATTGTCATTTATGAATTTCGTGTTATCAATTGACATTCACATTAATTTATATTCAATGAATCTTCACTCGATAAATCTTGAATTACATGAATTTAGAGTCATTCTAGATGAATTTATTTCTATTCATGTATCTAGAAATTTTAATGAGTGTTTAAATTCAAGTATTAACTATTAATTTTTTGTCTACCAAATGTAATATAAAAATATTGATTATTTGTAGTATTTCATCAAAAAATTTGAATAATAGAAATTGAATTTTGAGAGTATAATTTTTTTTCTCTTAAATTTATATTCTAAATTTTATTTCTTTAGTTCGTTTGAAACCCATCAAATCATCCAATAAATTGATATCAAATATTACTTTTATAACATTTATAAAGTGTTTTAGAATAACGTGCAATACACGTTTAACTTTAACTAATTTTTCAAAAAGTCACAATCCATCCCACATCGATTTCCATAAAAAAATGAAGTTAAAAGAATAAGTTATAGGGGATAGGCCATCGTTTGGATTATTCACTATTTGGGCCATATTGGTTTGAATTCAGACGTGAGACGACATAATATGTTATTTGTTACTAATTTCTTCAATTTTGGATTGAATTATTGAATCGAATATTCAATAACTTAACAAATTGGAGATTTAACAACCAAATATCCATTGAATCTGTCCATATCCGATTTATTTACAACCCCACTTTCAGTATTGATCGACCATGCATATCAAAACTACTTAAAATGTATTTATCAAATTCATTCTTTCAATTAATGGGACAGCTGGAAATTAAAAATCACAAGACAACTCGAAATGTGTGCAACCCTTTAGACGTTGATTTTTGACATTATATTATCAATTTGAACCCACAAATGGTCAATAATTTGTTAATCAATAAATAGCATTAATTTGAGGAGATAACAAGTCAAATTAATCGCCGATAAAAAAATATCTCATTGGCCCAACAGAGCATATTTTAATTAATGTCCTGTTATGACATTTATAGGTGTGGCCCTCTCTTAAGCCCTTTTTGATTCCCATTACTTAAAAATGAAAATGGGGAGAATAGTATTTTTTAGAAAAATGAGTGGTTGAAAAAGAAGAAAAAATTTTCGATTTACGTGTAATATTATTTTATGAAAGATTGTGTAGTTGAAAATAGGAGAGAGAAAAATAGAATGTAATGTAATTG